CTTTTTTTTTTTTTTTTTTTGTTAACTAAATGATTGGTTCAGTCCAAAAAGACCAATCTTAATATGACCCAAATGGGTTGGTCCAATATTTTAATCTCGAACCAATCAATGACGTTAAATTTAAGTCATAGACTAAGTAGAATTATAAACATTCACATCAATTAGATAATCCAATAATTCAAAAATTAAATTAAAGAATATAAAACCATTACAACCCATCTTCCCAAGTAGTTGAAGAAGGCCAAGGCGGAAGAATTTGATTATTATTTTTTTTTTCTAGACAATTAGGTATTTGCATGTAGAGAGGGGAACGAAACACTTTATAAGAATGTGAAAACCTCATACTAACTGAGAAAATGTGTTTTAAAACGGTGAGACTAAAAATGATAGGTAATGGACTGTGAACAACATTAGCTAGCGATGAGTCAGTGTTATTACTAATGGTTTCAGAGTCTGACACCAAGTGATGTACCAACGAAAAACATAAATTGTGAGATAAGATCCCCACATCGGTTGGAGAGGAGAACGAAACATGTAACGATAGGCTTCGGCTATTAGCCCACTAACCCAACACATGGGACCTTCATATCTGATAGGCTCTCTTTTTCCTTTAGAAAACAAAACATCCCATGCTCTTTTGAGCTATCTTCAACCCTCCCCTTTTTGCCTCACATGGGTTGATACCCTTTACATTACCCAACCACCCTTCCAAATGTTAGTTTTATTTCCATTTTGTCCCCAATAATGTCCTTATTCTCATTAATAAAAACCCTACTTCTCCAACATAATTGGTCTCCATATACTTAGAAATAATTATATTTTTAAAATAAATACTTTAAAAGCTACACGAACCAAAATGAACAAAAATTGAAAATATACAGACTAACCAAACTAAACTCAAATTTTTAAGCTCTCGAATGAAGTCCTAAAAAAACGACAGTTCTCCAACCCCGAAAAATGATTTATATTAGGGTCCCGCAATCAAGCAAGCGTGTCTCCAAGCACCCACCCCCATGTGCAGCTTTCCCTCCATCAAATCCGAAAAATAGTTCGGTTCCCATAATTATTTAATCACATTTATCCCCACATGTCTTATTATCTCCCATTATATAAAAACCCTCACCCATCTCCATTCTTTTCAGCTCACACACAAACAAACTCAAATCATCTAACATGATGAAGCTCCGGTCTAAGAGGTTCTGCACAGCCTCCACTTTCAGGTTTCCAAGCTTCGTCACCAGCTGCAACAAGAAGATCAAAGTCGCCGACGACGACCACCGCAACCACGCCGTCCCCCTCTCGGAAATCAAGTGGGAGCTCCGTCCCGGTGGCATGCTCGTCCAGAGAAGAGAGATCCCCGCCCCACCCACTTTCACCCAAGATCAAACCATCACGGTTAGAGTCTCAACCGTCTCCCAATTCCACGACATTTTTGTCCAACCCACCTCAACTTTTGGTAAGTTCAGTTAAAATATCATCACTAACTCATACATAAACTCATTATATATTTATTTAAAAAAATTATCTTCTAGTCTTGTAATCTCTTCTTGATCGTAAAAAGTGGGAGTGTTTCCCATAACGGGGGATTTATGAAGCTAATTTAATGATGTCTGTGTCGTGTTTTAAGGAGAATTGAAGATGATTCTATCAATGGTGACTGGTTTGGAAGCAAGAGAGCAAAGATTGCTGTTCAAAGGGAAGGAAAGAGATGACTGTGAATATCTACACATGGTGGGAGTAGGAGACAAAGACAAGGTTCTTCTACTTGAAGATCCAGCCATCACAGAAAGGAAGCTTCATGGCATGGCAGCATCCCAACCAATTAGTGTATAATTAATCACACTAATCCTAATTAATCCCAAACTAAACATGCTTTTTCATACCACTGACTCCGAGAATTTCTAACGCCTTAATTTCTCGTATGTTTTTAGGACTCCGTTCTTGCATTATAGAAGAATTTGTAAGGATCGAGTGTCTCGAATTTAAATTTTAAAGTAATTAATGTATCTTCATCTTTTGTAACGGTTTAATTTATATACTTTAGTTATGTCGGTTTTTTTAATTAAAATTTTAATGATAACTTATTTAAAAAATGTAAAAGTTATGGTGTTTTAGTTTTGTATGTGGTGAGCTGACCCAAGCGTGCAAGCATGCGTTAAAGTTGTCGGTTGCTATAAAATAAAGCTGTCCCTTAAACTTATTTAAAAAACTTTAAAATATTTTTAAATTTTAAAAAAAAATAAGTTTAATTAATGCCTTAATTCTTTTAACTAACTTTAAAAACACCAAATTTTTGTACCAAGTTTAAAAAATAAATATTAAGAAATAAAATAATATACGAGATGTCAAAAAAATTTATTTCATAAAAGTTAATAATGTTAATATTATTTTTAAAATTTCGTATTTTTTAAACTTATTACTAAAAACGTATTTTTGAAAATTTTAAATAGAAGTATTTATTATTATTATTATTATTAATTCAGCCATTTTTATTTAATGGTTTTTTCCTATTTCTAATTTATTTTTAATAAAACTTAAGATTCATCAATGTCGGGAGGGTATATGAGTCGTTGGATCAGCTTGAATTCACCTTTTAAATTTAAATTTTTTAAATATTTAAAAAGTTAATTCAATCGTGTCATTTTGATTACTATAACCAAAGTGCAAAAACTTATGTGATATTCCATAACAACAAACCGCCCTTTATAAAAGTGCTGAGGCGAAGCCCAAAGAAGACAACCTTCCCTTAACGCTAAAGCTTTGAGGAGAAGCCCAAAGGACAATATTTACTAACAATGGATTGGGTCGTTACAACTTAAATATAATACTATAATATAAGTCTAACTAACTCTTTAAAGTATATAAAATATATAAATTCAATTAAGATGTCAAAAATTAAAATCATATCAGATTTAAAATTTAAAATAACACTAAAGTTTAGCTTATTTGTAATTCAAATCTTTATAATCATATTTGCAACATTATCTATAATTATGTTTAAAAAAAATATGAAGAAAGAAAATAGAAGGCTAGATGCATTTCCCAGAATGACCTTATGTCCAAAATGAACTGTTTGTTCACGTTCAGCTTCTTTTCACAAAGCGACCCTGAAAGAGGGGTAGGAAAGTCACAAAATATTAAGAAGGATGGTAAAAAGTAAAAAGTAAAAAGTTGTGGTAAATTAGGAAGGATGAAGAAAAGTTACCTTAATTCTTGGGCGCTTCTCTGCATTGAGCTTTCTAACTTGATAACGAATGCGCTTGGAAAACAGCCGGCTCTGCCTCTTCTCTTTGTATCTCAGAACACTTGCTTCCCTTTCTTTCCCTATTTCTGGCACTTTCCACACGTTATTCCCTTCGCTTCCAAATCCATTTCTCTGCATCAACACCAGACAATTTGAAGATCAACACGTCTAAAACTCTGATTTTCAATGATTTTAAAAGTAAACTGATCTTACAACATTGGGGAGAGAATCGGAGTAGAGAGATGGATCGTCATGGAGATTCGGCACAATCTGCGGCGATTCTCCATTGATGAAAAGTGGAGCTTTGTCCGACCAGGCATTCAATATCCCTTCATAATCCAGCTTCAACCATACATCCGCCGCTGTGCTTCTTGCTTCCTTTTTCTCCACCACCTCCGAATAACACACCCACCTCTCCTCCGCCCCCACTTCCCTCTCCCTGCTTCTCATCGCCGTCCGTACAAGTTCCGTCTCCGACCATGTATCGTTCTGGTGTAAAAACCTCTGCAGGCTGCTGTTCTCCGGATGCAGGGGAAACAGAGTGAGCTGCTTCTGCGGCGGCGATGGCTGGTCGTGGATCATCTTCAGGGGAAAAATTAGCTGAGGAATTTGGGTCGTCTTGTTTTGGTTCTGGATTTACGAATCGGATGCTTGATTAGGCAAATTTCATTGCTGACGCTCATTTCTCTCGATCTTCTTCAAACAACACACACACAAATTTCACTCTGTTTGCTACAGAACAAGGGAAAGAGTGCGAAAAGCGAAGCCAAGGAGGCGGGAGGGACCCAGTTGGTGACGTGTTCGGTCTCTTGACACGTGGAGCGAAGAGATTGGGAGTGGGAGTGGATTTTGTGTTGTTATCCAGATTTCCCTTTGGATAGAATCGTGGGGGTGCTTTTGTAATTTCACTACTTATTTTTCTGAAAACAATTAATATTTTTGCCCCCATTGGAAATAATTGCAATTCACAGGATACCCTCCCCTTGACCCGTTGATACGTCAGTGCAATGGTTGTTTGCCACTTGGGATATCCACGTCAGTGCAATGGTTGTTTGCCACTTGGGATATCCACGTCAGTGCAATGGTTGTTTGCCACTTGGGATATCCACGTCAGCGAACACAAATTTTAAACCTTTAGGAAGAAAGGACCTTTGATCTTGATGGTATTGATTAGGTGAGAAACAGAACTGAAGGAATAAAAAGATGGATAGAGTAGTGGAGGATTAAAATAATTAATGGAAAATGATCTTATGATAATCACTCTTTAGAATTATCAGAGAATAGTGAAATACATTAAGCAAGCAACAGAAACATAATCTCTTCAAATTCAAGTCAAACCCATCTCATAAAATTAAAAAAGTTTAGAAGGCAAACAATCCAGCAACGCCCAAAACCCCGGCAACGGTGGCGGCTGACACTTTCTGGAACGAAGCATCACTGGGCGGAGAATCAGAGGGTGAATCACTTGGTGCATCAGCCATATCTTCGTCTTCGCTGACGGGTCCGGCAGCAGGTCCGCTTGGGGAAGGTGGAGATGACGCATCAGCATCGGACTCGGGGGATCCAGCAGGGGAATCGGCAGAACCCTCATTGCCGGCAGGGCCAGAAGCAGGACCGGAAGCAGGGCCATCGGCAGGGCTGGAAGCCTTAGGGGCACCGGCATCAGCCTCGGGGGCACCGGCATCAGCCTTTGGGGCACCGGCATCAGCCTTTGGGGCACCGGCATCAGCCTTTGGGGCACCGGCATCAGCCTCGGGGGCACCGGCATCAGCCTTTGGGGCACCGGCATCAGCCTTTGGGGCACCGGCATCAGCCTCGGGGGCACCGGCATCAGCCTTTGGGGCACCGGCATCAGCCTTTGGGGCACCGGCATCAGCCTCGGGGGCACCGGCATCAGCCTTTGGGGCACCGGCATCAGCCTTTGGGGCACCGGCATCAGCCTCGGGGGCACCGGCATCAGCCTTGGGGGCACCGACATCAGCCTCGGGGGCACCGGCTTCAGCCCTGGGGGAAGAAGCAGCTCCTTTGTGAGCATGGGCAGGGGTTGGAGCGGCAGCTGCGGTAGTCTTATTTTCAGCAGATTTGGCGTCAGAGGGTTTATGGTCATCGGCCTTGGGTGATGCGGCGGAGACAATGCCGACAACGACGGCGAAGACAAGAGCAAGGAGAAGCAATTGGCGGGCCATTGTTGCTGATTTTGTTAAGAGATGGGAAGAAGAAGAAAAGAGGGAGTTTATTCAGATAAGGATTCTGAAGGCTGCAGAAATCCTCTAAGGTATATAGAGAAAGACTGCAAGACCAGAGAATGAGTTTGAAGGAGGAAAGGGGAATGGCATTTAAAGGGGTTTCCGGCCGACGGCGGAGGATTCCGTTTGGAGTTCAGAGGCTCGCCGGATTTGGCGGATTTCGCCATTTTCAGTTGCCTGCAACTGCGACCGGGTCTTCCGGCCAGAATCTTAACTGTATTTAGGATCTCTTCTCTACAATGGCGGGAGGGAGATTCAGTTTAATATAATTTTATATAATATAGTGTGAATTTGAAAAATATATATAATATACATAATATACATATTATATACAAATGGATCTATCGGTTAACAAAACCGACCCGGATGATGACGCGAACCCATTACCCATTTGTAGATGGGGCTGCATCAACCGCCAAGAAACTGAAACTAGAAACTGAAACATGGATCAAATCGCTGGTTTTCTGCCGTCAACGGTGCCGGACTAAGGAGGAATGCGAGGACACGATTCGAAGAAATCTCCGAAGTATGAACAACAAATAAATTGTTTCCTGTTTAATTCGTTTATTCTAATGCTTTTTTAGCAGTTCTCTACAACCGAAGTGTCTGTTCTATGTCTGTATTTTTTCCCTCAATGGATTATTGAATATATGCCTGCATGTCACGGCTCCGATGATGAAGTTCTTGATGGGGAATTTGGAGAAATCCGGATGTGGAATCGGGGATAAGTTCATTGAGAATTCTTCTCATGGTAGAACTTAAAATCTGTGTGTACGCTCATGCTAACTTGAATCTGATCTTGGCAATGATTTCTGGAGGAGTGTGTGAGGAGAAGAGTGATGAAATCAGTGGCTGCTCATCCTTACTGCTCAGAAGCTGCTGCAAAAGATGCCATGGAAGCTGTCTGGGATGTTTGTTATAATGATACTCAGCCATTTGATAGAGCTCCCTGAAGAATGGTTTATGCTCTCATTTCATCTGCAGAGAACAAAGCCGCCGCCGCTCCTAATTTAATGCCGCAGTGCCAAAAAGAGCAACAGGTTTTTTTTTGAAATCGGAGGTTTAAATATTCATATTCACTGCTTATAAATACTCATTCCAATTTTTGTCTGTAAATTTGTATGTTAGAGTCAAACAAACTCATCTGATGTGAGTCGTGTAGAGCAGAGCTTAGAGTGGATCGCCAGATTTAACATGATGCACAGATGTGCCTTGTTTCTCACGAAACGTGTATGGCAACTCCGCCCCTTGGAGGAGCCCTTTCAATCTCCCAATTTCTCTTATATTCTATTTCTTCTTCTTCTTCTTCCTTCTCCCTTGTAATTCTCTCCACCTCTTCTTCCCCATTTTCTCCATTCTCTCTCTCCCTCTTCTTCCATGACCCTCGGAATCGAAGCTCGACTGCGTTCTAGCAATGGGGGGTGTGTTATGCCGCCCGATTCCCATTTCTCCGATGATGGGGTTTCTCGCAAATCCAAAGTTACCGTCGTTGGAAGTGACAATTGGGGCAGTGTGGCGGCCAAACTCATCGCCTCTAATGCCGCTAGGCTGAGCTCTTTCCATGGTGTTGTCTTGAACTTCTTCTGAAATCTCATGATTTGTTTGTTATTGTTGCTGGATTTCTATTTTCCCCCTTTGCATTTTGAATTATTCGTTACTTTTATTGGATTCCAGATGAGGTTAGAATGTGGGTGTATGAGGAGACTCTGCCTACTGGTGAGAAGTTAACTGATGTTATCAACCTCAACAATGTAATGATCTGTTGATTCATTATGACCACTTTCCATTTTGTGAACTTTAGAGCGTTACAGATTAGTGATTCTCGAACCTTTATTAACAGGAGAATGTTAAATATCTCCCTGGTATAAAGCTTGGCATGAATGTTATTGCAGATCCAGACCTAGAAAATGCAGGTCTTCAACTGTCTCATTCTAATCTTTCTGAGTTAACGTGGTGAATCTGCCATGAATTGTGACTCTAATGGGTTGAAATCTCAGTGAAGGATGCTAATATGTTGGTGTTTGTGACTCCCCATCAATTTGTGGAGGGGATATGCAAGAGAATGGTTGGAAAGATGAGGAGAGATGTAGAAGCTATTTCCCTCATCAAAGGAATGGAGGTGAAGAAGGATGGTCCATGCATGATTTCTTCCCTCATCTCCCAGGAATTGGGTATCAATTGTTGTGTTCTTATGGGGGCGAACATAGCAAACGAGGTCCTAAAACTTGTTGTCCCAATTTTCAGGTCATTTCTTGTTCCGTTTTGTTTTATGATTCTTGAACTGTTCATGCAGATTGCTGTAGAGAAATTCAGTGAAGCAACAGTGGGCTACAGGGAGAACATGAGAGAGAGAGCTGAAAAATGGGTTCAACTTTTCAGCACTTCCTATTTTGTTGTTACTCCTGTAAGTACAGTTCATGACCTCATGTTTTATTCAAGCAATCCCTGTTAGCCTTCTAATGGTGAAATATTCAAAGGTCCAAGATGTTGAAGGAGTTGAAATGTGTGGAACCCTTAAGAATGTTGTGGCATTAGCAGCAGGTTAATCATAAACCTTCATCATTTGGCTTTCCTTTTGCTGCTTATAATGAGCAACAGCCTTGAAAAATTTGAACATGGCAGGTTTTGTTGATGGTTTGGAGATGGGAAATAACACGAAGGTACAAAAATTAGTTCTAAAAGTTCAAAAGGTAACCTGAATGTTTATCATATTTTGACTATTTTCACTCAATTGGGTAGGCTGCAATTATGAGAATCGGTTTGAGAGAGATGAGGATGATTTCCAAGCTTCTGTTTTCATCTGTCAATGACAGTACTTTCTTTGAGAGTTGTGGAGTAGCTGATCTGATTACGACGTGCTGTATGGATAAATTCTTCGTTCTTTTGTTCTTCTTCCATACTCTTTGTTTGTCTCGCGGTAGAATGTGAGATCCCACATTGGTTGGAGAAGGAACAAAGCATTCCTTAGAAGGGTGTGGAAACCTCTTTATAGCAGACTCGTTTTAAAAACTATTAGCAGTAGGTTTTGGCTGTTAAAGATGGTATCAAAGCCAGACACCGGGGCGATATGCCAGTGAGGACGTTGGGCCCCAAGAGGGGTGGATTGTGAGATCCCATATCGGTTAGAGAGGGGAACGAAGCATTTCTTACGAGGGTGTGGAAACTTCTCCTTTTTAAAACCATGAGTCTGACGACGGCGACAATATCTGTCAGCGGTGGGTTTGGGCGGTTATAAAAACTGATGTGTCTTTGGCAGTGGGAGGAAGAAACAGGAAGGTGGCAGCAGCTTTTGCCAAGAATGAAGGGAAAAGGTTAGTATTGCTACTCAGAAACTTGGATCTTCAACATGGATGCTACCATGTTTCATCATCGCTGTATATGATTTTTGCCTTCTCCCATTTAGGTCCTTTGATGAACTTGAAGCAGAGATGCTACAGGGCCAAAAATTGCAGGTTTTTATAATTATTTAGGTACTTTTAGAAAGAAAATGTAATAGGACGAACAGGGAAGGAAGATGCTTGTTTGTTTCTTGCTAAAATACTCTCCAGGGATCCATTTCTGGTTACACTATCCTAACACCTGATTTTATTACATTTTAAAGGGTGTTTCCACTGCAAAGGAGATGTACGAGGTTTTGAAACACCGTGGGTGGCTGGAGCTGTTCCCACTGTTTGCATCAGTCCACGAGATCTGTATCGGACACCTCTCCCCCTCGGCCATCGTCGAGTATAGCGAGCGCAAACCCAACTTCTGTGTTATTGATGGCCATGCTCAGTAATTCAAACAAGAAACTGTGAAAGTGTGTCAATGTCAGACTGGGATTTGGTTCATCTTTAGAAGTACATGTTCAGAGATTGCTGAGATTCTCAAAACTTTGAACTGTTTCAGATGTTCAAGAGAATCTCCTATTTTGTTGGAAGGTGCGAGTGGTTAGTGCTGTGTAACTCAAAGATCCAAATCTCCAAGTTCCTTAAATGGAAATTGATGATACATATCAGATCAAACTTCTTTTATGATTCATTCTCCACCAACCTCTAAGAATCTTCCAGTTGCAGATTCTGAGTCTATCTAAGCACATCCCTACTCATCATTTAGAACCAAACTCCCATCTGCTGAGTGAAGTTACGAGATTGCATGGAGTGACTTACTGTAACCAATATGAGATCCCTCATCGGTTGGAGAGAGGAACGAAGCATTCTTTATAAGGGTGTAGACGTTTTAAAAAATCATGAAGGGAAGCTTGCAAGGAAAAGTCAAAAGAGGACAATATCTGCTAGCGGTGATCTTGAACGGATACAAATGGTATCAAAGCCAGACACTGAGGGTGGATTGTGAGATCCCACATCTCACATCGGTTAGGGAGGTGAACAAAACATATCTGCTAGCGGTGAGTTTGGATTAATACAAATGATATCAAAGCCAGATACTGGGATGTGCCAGCGAGGACGGATGGATTGTGAGATCCCATATTGGTTGGAGAAGTGAACGAAACATTACTCATTTTCAACTGCTATAAAGAGAGACCTAGCCATGTATCCACCAACCAAGCTGCCTCTGCATTCAATAGGGTGTCTCATTTTGCATTAATTTGATGGTTGAGCCTTGAGCAGCACAGGTTGAAGTCCTACTCACAAACTGCCACCACAAACTATTTTTTTAATGATTTAAGAAAATAAAAATAAAAAATAATAATTTGGATCGTAAAGACGCAATTCAATGAAGTTCATAAAATACTTCTACCTTAATGAATTTAGGTAATATAAACTCACTTTTATTCATTAAGAGTCACAGAAAATACGTAATAATAGCTAAAGATGTCACTATTTTAATGACGTCACACAAATTTAATTTTTATGTATTAAATGTGGCCCCCATATGACATAGAAGTCAAAAGATTATTTTACATAAATTGGAATTCAATCCTATTTAATTTATAGCCAATTTTTTTTATATTTATTTTATTTTCTACATTAATCTTTCCATATATTTATTTTATAAATTTTTGGATAAAAGTAAACATCTAAAGCGGAGATCACATAAGCAGCATTTAAGAAGAAGAAGAACAAGAAAAAGAAAAGATTAGTAATTAGGTAAAAGCTGGGAGGGAGAAAGTTGGGGGGAAATTTTGAAGGGGATACTGATGGTGGTTCGTAAGGCATTTGATGGAGCTTGGATTGATCTGAAGGAACAAGTAATTTCCAGCAAAAAGATCTCCCAAATGCGCTTCGCCATCTCTGAATCGCTTCAGAACCTTGGAAATGGAGCCTCCCATGGCATTCACCAGCCGCGATTTCCTGAAAAGCTTTCGGAGGCTAGGGATTCTGAGCTTCTTCAACCTCCTCCCGATCGAAGCCCTTCGCATTCTGAAACCTCCAAACCTCCTCTGTTCTCCTAGTCTGGATCTCGCAATCGCCGACTCCAATTCGTCGCTGTGCCGCAGTCTCCGGTACCGGAATTTGGCTGCGGATGCGATTTCGAGGTCCGCCATGAAGGATTTGGAAGAAGATCGAATTGATCTGTTGAGAAGCAGTGAGAGGGCATTAAAAGGGAGAGATAGAGAGAGATTGTTGAGAGCATTAAATGGCTTGGCTACTGGAGGTAGGGATTTGCATCTTCGTTCGAAACTTGTTGATGATAGCAGCATGTCCCCCTACCTAGTTAGGAATTGGCGGAAGTTTGTACAAGTAACGTGCACACCAAACGGCGCGACAGGCTAGTTGAATATCACACGGGGCTTATCTTATTGATGTTCACAGATTAACTACCATCATTAATATCCACACCACCCTTTTTCTTTTCTTTTTTTTTTTCTTTGGAACGAATGAGATTATATTTTCTGTCTCAAAATCTTACCTCATCTCGATCCACTCCACTCACATTTCTTATAAGAGTGTGGAAACATTTCTTATAAGAAAAAGCTTAAAGAAGACAATATATGTTAGTTGTGAATTTTGAATGTTGCAATGGTATAGAACTAGACACATGTAGTCCCCCAACAAGAATGCTGAGGGCTAGGATTATTGCAATGGTATCAGAGCCCAGACATGGGGTAGTGTGCCAGCGAGGACCCAAACATCGGGTCGTGTGCCAGCGAGGATACTGGCCCCAAGGAAGATAGATTGTGAGGTCGCACATTAATTATTACAGGATGTTGTGCTAACAAGGACGTTGGGGACTTTGTTGCAATGGTACCAAAGCCCAAACACCGGACAGTGATAGATTGTGAGGATGCTCGAGGTCACACATTAGTTGTAGAGGAGAACGAAACATTCCTCATTATCTGCTAGCGGTGGATTTGAAGGATTTCGATCATCGAACACTTTATTAATACTCTTACTACTCTAGTAAGTTTGTCCAATCACAAACTATTTATCACGTCATAAATGTTGACCTAAGGGAAATAAGTTTTAGTGTATAAACTAATTAAATCCATATATATATTATTTGCCAATTGATTCCGTTTTCCCTCATTTAAAGTTTTTTTTAGACTATTCCTCTTGAGTGGCCATTGCGCCAGTTATTATTTATTATTTATTATTTATTATTTATTTCCACGATATTAATTATTAAAAATAATATTGACTAATTAAAAGTTGAAAAACGTGTTTATTAATTAATTAATTAATTAATTAAACTAAATTATGTGACACTCTAGTTCAAAATATAATAAAAAAAATAATTTTCTAACATTTTGATCTAGTTATGCTCGAGTTATTACTTCAAATAAAAAATGGTAAGAGAAAAATATGTAAACATCATATTGACCACATATGAATGTTGTTGAAGAGTTCAGAATAAACTAGCTGAAAATGTAAGAGTGAATGATGTGGAGCCTAAAGCTCGGGAAGAAATCTCTGAAGGGGTGGTTGAGCTACTCAAGTGAACCGTCCTATCTTACTTCAACGTAGACACAAAAAGGAGAAGGTGGTGAGGATGGCCTCGTTATCCACACTTCTAGTTAGAGGAATGGAGGATGGACCCCAAGTTTTCATGAGCGTTGGCAGGTTCAACCGTTCATCACAAAAGCCAAGATTGAAGATCACTAACTCGTACATATTTATTTGTATAAATAATTTTGGGCATAATAAAATAATTTATCTTAATTAAAAAAAAATAAAAATAAAAATTAGGGAGGAATCTGAAAGCAGGGGAGACTTTCCCAGGACCAGTGTGTCCTAATCAGCAGATCTCATGATGGCAAGCATGTTGGGTGGTGTAATATCCACTTCAAGCCGCTAAAATTGCGCTAAAGCTTCATAACTTTTTTGTTATAAAGGCATCGGATGTCTTCAATAATGCCCATTCTTTATTTATTTTTCTTCCAATTTTCAGCCTTCGCACGCCAATCGATCATGTGCTCCGCCTAAACCGAACCCCGTATTTTAGAGATACACCCACTTTACAAAACTCCACTGTTTCGCTTCAAATCCGCCATTGAAACCCAATTGTTCAACCCGTGCATCCATTTTTTTTTTCTTTCAAGATGCTTCAGTTTCTTCCATCTGCTTCCTGCTGAGGTACTTTGTTAGGTTTTGCATCAAATCTGAGAAATCGCCCACAAGGTGTTTGTTGAAATGCCCTTTTCTTTTTGTAGCAGCTATTTAGAATTTGGGATTTTGGGTTTGGATTAGCCGATGCTTATGTACTCTTAAGTGATTGTAAATTTGCAATGCTGGTAGCAAAGCTCAATCCATGGTGAAAAATTAGACAGACCCATGATTGTTTTTTGTTTAGGTTGTGCTGTGCCGAGTGAATTTTGTGTTTATTTACTTTCTATATTTGGCGTTTTCGTCGTTGGTAAATGAAGGGATATGGGTGAGGTGTCTGTAGACTAGACTTCGGTGTTGAAGAAACTTAACAGATAAGTCTATCTTCTAAGTCGGCTTGGCTTCACGGGTTTGCGTGAACCAGTCGTAGATGCCGCCATTTGTTTTGGTTTCTGAATACGTTTTCAATTCAATATTTTCCCAGACACTTCCTCCTCCAATTCCTACACGCGTCTCCCGTATTTAATTATGTGTTTTTTTCTTTTCCATCCTCGATATTGTAACAATTCCTTGTAGATCGGGATTTTGATTTCCCTACAATTTTCATATCTTGCATTGAGATTGATAGAGCAGGATTTTGTTGGGTTCTTCTGTAGAGACTTTTTAGTTGTGCTTGATGGGGGCCAAAAGTTCAAAGGAGGCCTCGTCCTATCGCTCAACTTCTTCTTCCTCATGGGGTGGTGGTGGTGGTGGTGGTGGTGGGTATTCTCAATCGTCATATGGACATGAGATCCCAAGTTATGCGCCTCAGCAATCCTATTCTTCTCAGCAGTATTATACATCAGCTCAAGAGTGCTATGGGAACGTTGATAATGGCAGGAGGTTGGATAGAAGATACTCGAGGATTGCTGATAATTACAATACTTTAGAAGAGGTAATGTGTGGGTTTAGGGTTTGAATAGGGACTGATTGAAACATATTTTATCCTTTTAGTGTGGAGAATGATGGCTTCGTCTGTGTATTCATTGAATCTTAGGCTTGCTTAATTTGCATCTGTTGAATCTATTATTCTTTTCATAGATTAAGTAACTTCAAGTAATTTGAGCGTTCTTAAATGAAAAATGATGCTGTAATTTGGCGGCTTTGCTTTGCTTCTTTCTGGGAAAAGGGAACGCTTTGTGTTTTTGTGCTTATTTACTGGCTTTGTACTTACGAGCCAAAATTTCAAAACTGAATAAAAAGTAGTGTTTAGAAACCTGTTATTCATTTGGAACTTGGATTTGAAAAGTATTTTTGAATAGTAGACATTGGTGAAGGAAAAGTTCAATTTTTAGAAATAAATCATCATCAGACCGAGGCTTAGAGGGTGAAGTAATCTTCTGTCCTTTCAGGTAACAGAAGCTCTTGCGCGTGCTGGCCTGGAGTCTTCCAATCTTATTGTTGGCATTGATTTCACCAAGAGCAATGAGTGGACAGGTGAAGCATTAATTTCTGTGCCCAAAATTTCAAAATATTGCCTATCATTTGTGGTGGGACATTGTAAGTTGACCTTTATATTTTCAAATAGGTGCAATCTCGTTTAATAGACGAAGTCTACATCACATTGGAGACCACCCAAATCCTTATCAACAGGCAATATCAATTATTGGAAAAACATTGGCTGCTTTTGACGATGATAACTTAATTCCCTGCTTTGGGTTTGGAGATGGTTGGTATCTGTTCTTTTCTTTGTAGAACTCTTGATCAATAAAAAATGTTGGTGCTGACTTTTCTGAATTGGCAGCGTCAACTCATGATCAAGACGTCTTCAGTTTCTTCTCAGAGGAGAGGTTTTGCAATGGATTTGAAGAAGTATTAAGTCGTTACCAAGAAATTGCCCCACATCTACGACTTGCAGGTTTGTTGTATACATCTACGGTTTCTTTCTTATATTTGAAAGACTTGTCTCTTTGATATGGAATTTGATCCTGGATTTGTGATAGGCCCAACATCATTTGCACCTGTTATTGAAATGGCGATGACCATTGTTGAGCAGAGTGGTGGTCAGTACCATGTTTTGCTAATAATTGCTGATGGACAGGTAGGTCTAAATGTCTGATTCCCTGCTTTTAATACGTTGAGTTAGGTACTAGAAAGTGTTAAACGAAGCAACTTGCTTGTTTTCTTCTTCTACTATTACTATTGGTTTGCTGCTACTATGGTAGAAAATGAAATTTAGAGGGACTGACACCTTCTGGAACTTAAAAAAGTGGTGGTAGTGTCACGGTCGGTGTGTACAGTGCTCAATGATAATAAAAATTAATATAATGACAACATTCTTGGATGTTTTGCGAAAATTGGGAATGTGATTGAACTTTTCGAAAAATAAGTTATAAAAACTTGTGTCTAGTTTGCGCGTTTGTGAGTTAGTGATTTGTAAAAATTAGTGTGTAATATGAAAGGTGGATATCATCAACCTGGGTTTGTGTAACCTATGAGATTAACTCTAACCCATACCTTAGTGTTAGACGAACACGACTCTCCACAATGGTATGATATTGTCCACTTTGAGCGTAAGCTCTCATGGCTTTGCTTTGGGCTTCCCCAAAAGGCCTCATACCAATGGAGAGTGTATTCTTAGATTATAAACCCATGACCATTCCCTAAATTAACCGATGTGGGACTTTCATCATCCAACACCTCCCCTCGAACAAAGCACGCCTCCCCTTAATCGAGGCTCGACTCCTTTGGAGTCTTAGTCATTTTTTGACTGCCTTCGTACCTTCGAGGAGGCTTGACTCCTTTGGGAGTCCTTTGTTCGACATTTAAGGATTTGCCAATCTATTGACACGGCTAAGTTTAGGGCATGGCTCTGATACCATGTTAGACGAACACGACTCTCCACAATGGTATGATATTGTCCACTTTGAGCGTAAGCTCTCATGGCTTTGCTTTGGGCTTCCCCAAAAGGCCTCATACCAATGGTGAGTGTATTCTTAGATTATAAACCCATGACCATTCCCTAAATTAACCGATGTGGGACTTTCATCATCCAACACTTAGGATGAACAAACTTGCATTTGAGATATAGAATTATTGTAAGCCTAGGTTACACAAGCTTGCCTGTGAGCCGAATACCCATAATGTCCAAGGGAATGGTTCTTCAATTACCATCTTCCTAGCGGACAGGCGTGGACGAAAAAGGGGGTGGGGTAGGACGGGGTGAATTCGTTGTGTTATCTAAGAATCTCTATGCTCTCATCTCAGCTACATGTTTCTTGCTCAGACTTTTGTTTAAGTAATTGGATTATCTGTTTGCTTCTTCACGTCTTTTAAATGTGTTCCCCTAGCTCAGGTGACTAGAAGTGTAGATACAGAACGTGGGAGGCTTAGTCCACAGGAACAAAAGACTGTTGATGCCATTGTTGAAGCAAGGTGAAAATGGAGTTCTTACATTCCTCCTGTTCCCTTCTTTACTCTAAAGCTCTATATCCATTTTATAATAATATATGCTTTCATTTCACTGCAGCAAGCTCCCTCTCTCCATTGTTTTAGTTGGCGTTGGAGATGGCCCCTGGGATATGATGAGAGAATTTGACGACAATATCCCATCGCGTGCATTTGATAATTTTCAGGTTAGTACTCTTATTTCAATCCATCTTTACTTGCATACCTTAAATACGTTCATATGCATATGATTTATGAATATGCGAACTTAGATGCTTACTTCGCAGTTGTTATATTTTCCTCTTCCTCGCCCGTCCAGGTTCTGTTTTATTTTTCATTAACTTCTGTGTGTGTGTGTGTCTAGTTTGTGAATTTCACGGAAATTATGTCAAAGAATATACCTACATCTCGGAAAGAGACCGAGTTTGCTCTTGCAGCATTAATGGAGATTCCAGCCCAGTACAAAGCTACAATAGAACTTGGTATTTTGGGGTAAGATACTATTTGCTTCTTTTTTGCGTCGGAAGTAATTGTTTTTGTAGATTGATCATTATTATCTCTTAATATTGTGCCTCACATTTATGAAAACTTTATATCAATAAAATGAAAGAAGTCAGAAACACGGAGAATTACAAACTATCTTTCCTGATATTAAGCTGAATCAAATGGGAACCAGTTCTTGCGCAGAACTTATCTATAATTTTTTTAGGAACGAGTCTATAAAATAATCCTTATGTGTCTCGTTCGTTTCCATTGATAACGTTTTTTGTGTACTCGAGCAGTGGTTGCAAGGGCTTATCTCCCCAGAGAGTTGCACTTCCTCCACCGGTCTATGGCACAACAGCTTCTTTTAGTAGTTCAAAGCCTACCTGGTCTTCCAGTTATGAGCCAAGCGTGCCTTCTTTCCCCGGAAACGGGCATCCTACTACTACTACTAGTACAGCTCCTCCTGTCGCAAGCTCAACTTATGATAACCAGGTTTGTTAGATATTAATCTTGGCCGTCATGATTTCTTTACCCATTTTTTTTTTCCTGTAAATTAAACGGAACATGCTTATCGTATAATGCAATATTTCATACTACTAATTGCACTTCCGACTTCAATTCAAATTGAGCATCTTTGTTGTTTGGCCTCGTGCAACAATTACTACTTTTTCGTGTTTTCTATGTTTTCTGTTATGAGAAATTGTCGTCATTTTATTCGATAGCATGTTCGTTATGCATAATCTGAATTCGTTTCCCCAACCAAGTTCAACAGTATCTGGTGTGGCCGTACCATCGCTGGTTTGATTCTCTGACCTTTCATCACTGTCTCGAACATTAACTTGAACATGGCTCAAATGATTAATACATATGCTCTCGAGTAGAGGGAACCTCTAGAATGATTAGTAACTTTTAGCAACTCCCTTCGATATTTCAACGAAATTTCACCTTTATTTTCTTTCTTTTGAATCTGAGAAGGGACTAACATTCTACTGTTCTTGAACAGCTCTGCCCCATTTGCCTCAGCAATCCAAAGGACATGGCTTTCGGCTGTGGACACCAGGTGATATTTATGAAAATTTCTTTAAACTATTGATGGAAAGAACATGAATTCAAGAACCCAAAGTTGAATGTTTGTGTGTTTGTTCATCACAGACGTGTTGTGAATGTGGACAAGATCTCCAGACATGTCCGATATGCAGGAGCGCCATCCACACCAGGATAAAGCTCTACTGAAGCGTCTCTGCATACTTCGCTGTAATTCTTTGTAATTTATTCCTTGATTGAATCCATTGGTCCATGCATGTTTGGGTTATGTTCTTCAAATACACCATGCGAGCTGGCCATTGAATTGCATAGTCAACAAATTTGTAGAACCCGCGTTCCAGTTTAGTCATACCCGATGCAATCTTCGAACCGGTTTGGATTAACTTTTTAAGTGTTTATTTTTCCTTTTTTGTACTTAAAAACGTTCTTTAAACTCTTAGAAAGTCATCCAAATAATCCGTTCATGTACAGACAAACACGCCAAGATGGTAATTTGTTAGAAATAATATTTTGGAAGTTTTATTTATTTAATTTTTTTAAAGCTTATTACATACGAAATTAAAAATTGTAAAAATGGAATGAAATCTGTTTACAATTTAATGACACATTAATTAAAATTTAGGGAGCAAATTTGCAATTCAACTTGGTTTTTAAAATTTTATTTTGAAATTAAAATGTTTAAATTATTGTACTAAAATAAGAAATAATAATAATAATAATAAAACTTGGAAACATTCGTCAAAATGATTTATAATTTAATAAGAAAGGAAAAAGAAAAACCCAAGAAAGGAAGGTTGGCGTGATCAGCAACTGTGGGCGCTCGGCGATGGCGGTAATACGATGGATGAAGCCTTTGAATGAACTGCTATCGTCTGATCCCGCGATCAGAGCGATAGCTTCCATGCTCATCTTCTGAATCTGCTTGGATTTCTTTTCGTTTCTCTGAAGCTTCTCTCGGATTCTGCCTTTTCTGTAGTAATGAAGCACACGGCCCACTCCCTTTCCTCCACTTGTCATATCAAGTTCCTTCTACTCGGATTCATCGTGCTACTCGCCCTCTTTTGCCTCTATTATGGATCCTCTTTCGCTCCCAGCTCCCGTAGATCTGATGGGGAGAATTCATTCCGCTCTGGTTCTCTTTTTGGCGGGAACCTTTTCAATCACCGTTTCGATGATTTGCATGGACATCGAAGCCTGATTCTCGAGGTCCCTAAAACTATACCTGTGAGCTCCACTAGCTTTGGCTTCTATTCTTTTGGTTTCGTTTCAATTCAAGTTGGTTTTCTTGATATTGTTCTTGTTTTGTAATTGGGTGTTTCTATATGTTCTTTCCAGGTCTGCGATGAAATGTATTCTGAGTTGATTCCTTGTTTAGATAGAAACCTTATTTACCAATTGAGATTGAAGCTCAACATGACTTTGATGGAGCACTATGAGCGTCAATGCCCTCCTACTGAACGCCGCTATAATTGTCTTGTTCCTCCTCCTGTTGGTTACAAGGTTGGTTATGTGTAATTCTGCAAAGAAATGCTGTTTATTGAATGGTCTCAGCTTGATCCCGACAAACTTATAATTAGAGTTTCAGATCCCAATAAGATGGCCAAATAGTAGGGATGAAGTGTGGAAGGCAAACATACCACACACACACCTTGCAAAAGAAAAATCAGACCAGAACTGGATGGTTGTGAATGGGGATAAGATCAATTTTCCTGGAGGAGGAACTCATTTTCACGATGGAGCTGATAAGTATATCATTGCACTTGCGAAGGTGTGTTGTTTGTCCGCTCTCAATCCTTGATGTATTGTATTAAAAAAGAAAAGCACAAATAAGTTAAAATTTGAGTAATTTGACAGATTCCTAAGTGTCAAAATTTGTTTCTATGCGTAGTCTTCTTTCTGCAAGTAAATGAATACTGTCTGGCAACCCGTATACATGAGATTCATGCTTAATATTTTTTTTTATGAGTGCAGATGCTTAAGTTTCCTGGTGATAAGCTCCACAATGGTGGAAATTTACGGAATGTCCTAGATGTCGGTTGTGGGGTTGCAAGTTTTGGAGCATATCTTCTATCACATGATGTTATAACTATGTCATTGGCTCCTAACGACGGGCATGAGAATCAAATACAATTTGCACTTGAGAGGGGGATTCCATCAACTCTTGGTGTTTTGGGAACAAAAAGACTCCCATATCCAAGTAGATCGTTTGAGTTGGCTCATTGCTCTCGATGTCGAATTGATTGGCTACAGAGAGATGGAATCCTGTTATTAGAACTTGACAGGTTATTGAGACCTGGAGGCTATTTTGCTTACTCCTCCCCTGAAGCTTATGCACAAGATCCAGTAAATAGAATGATTGGAACTGCTATGCATGATATCCTGAAAAGAATGTGCTGGAAAGCTGTTGCCAAAAAGGATCAAACTGTCATATGGGCAAAGCCCGTGACTAATAGCTGTTACTTGAAAAGAGATCCAGGGACTCTTCCACCCTTGTGTAATTTGGATGATGATCCAGATTTGACTTGGAATGTGCCAATGAAAGCATGCATATCCCGATACTCTAAAAGTGAGTGTAAATGCTTTTTAGCCGCATGCTCTTTTACTCATACTGTGAAGAATTTTCTCATTTGATGATCTTCAAAGGTCGTTTCATCCTTTTCTCCCCGTACGGTTTGTAAAAATATTCTGATTTATACTACTCGTTTGTGAAGAAAATTTTCAAGTAGTATATACATAAGAATTTGAATTTCGTTAATCCATGTAGCTGTGTTTCAACAGATTTTGCCCGAACTTTCTATCAACTATAGTTGTATGTCCATTCCACTTTTCTTTTTTTAAGCTTGTTGATTCTTGTGCGCACCTAGACGCTCATTTACATAACTCTCTTTTAGCATATCAACGGAGCAGAGATGCACAGGCTAAAGGAAGTGGACTAGTTCCTTGGCCACAGAGACTTATTTCAGCGCCTCCCCGTTTGGAAGAAGTTGGTGTCAGTGCAGAAGAATTCAAAGAAGACAGTGTAAGTTTTTTAATAGGTGTCAATGTCATCTATGGTTTTGAAGCATTAGCAGCAACGAATGCTGTGTATTATTTATTTATTTTGACATATTCTAGAAGCCTAAGGGAAAGATTTAATTTATGCAGAAGGTTTGGAAACTTAGAGTGACAGAATATTGGAACGAAATGAGATTAGTCATACAGAGGGACTCCATCAGAAATGTGATGGATATGAATTCCAATCTTGGGGGGTTTGCTGCTGCACTAATTAATAAAGATGTCTGGGTTATGAATGTTGCTCCTGTCAATTCATCTGCAAAGTTGAAGATTGTTTATGATAGAGGCTTATTAGGAACTGTTCATGATTGGTACGCACTTTACCCATCACTCCTAACTTGACTTAGGGTCTCTCTGTTCTATATTTTTCTTTTTTCATCACACAAATTGGTTTTTGGTGATTGAATTTGCTTATGCTCATTAACTTTTTCTTGATTATTTAATATCTGTTGAAACATATATTTGCAACCCGCCTGTTTGTCTTCTTTACTTTATTCAGATTTGGTTTTGTTATACAGGTGTGAAGCATTTTCGACATATCCTCGCACCTATGATCTTCTTCATGCCTGGGCTGTATTTTCGGAGATTAATGTTCGTGGATGCAGTATGCATGATCTATTAATTGATATGGATCGAATTCTAAGGCCAGATGGGTTTGTCATTATACGAGACGTTCCTGCTGTCATAAACTACTTACGGAAGTATTTTACAGCCCTAAGATGGGATGGATGGTTATCAGAAGTGGAACCTAGGACTGATGCTCTTTCCAAAGTAGAAGAAAGAGTGTTAATTGCTAGGAAAAAGCTGTGGGGGAATGAAGTAGCAACAATCTGATTTTGCTGCATTCTCCAGGTAGATAAATTTATTTTCATTTCGTGAATGAAGCACGTCACTGCGTCGATTCATATGGCTTCTGCATAACTTTTTTCTCGTAGGACACATCACTTTGAAAAATCCTTCTTTAGAATTGAAGTTTCAAGGAAGATAATACCAAAATTTAGGAGAATAATTGTAAAATAGGCTTTTTAGAGATTGCTGTACTTAAAATCTAGAAGTTTTCTTCATATAAGAAACACATCCCATTAAGAAAGAGGTCTCTAAGCACACACAAAACTGTTAGCTTCTTCCACATCTAGAAATTTTCAAGCACTTCTTCTTTACGTAATTTATACTTAAAGATTGTTGTTTGTATGGTCTGTAAAATGGCAGCTTTAGCCGTATTTCATATTGTAGTCCTGAGCTCCCAGTTGTAAAGGAAGATTGGAGAGCTTTGGATCCACAGATATATTTGCAGTGCCCATTTTCCCTTCGACTTGCCCCAGTAATCGTTGCTGAAGATGAAGATGGAGTGATACAAGTGCCCTGAAGATACACCCATTTATATCAATGATATACAATTACAATAGTCATTCAAAGAGATTATGTTTCTTTTCAACGAGCCACCACATTGTTATTTGGTCGTTCAATCATTGCAAGAGTATCGACCACATTGTTATTTTGTCGTTTAATCATTGCGAGATGAAGGAACATACAATTTTGAAATTTTTGAAATGATAATTGATGTTTTATGTTCGTGTTATGAGTTATGAACTATGTTAGCAATAACTTTTGGTTTTAAAGTTAGCTGAGATTTGTTTTGTTAACAAAAAGAGAAAAAAATAATGATTAACAATTTTTATATAAATTTTATGTTTAACAATTTTTTAAGAGACAAAATTAGAAATTTAAATACATATTACCGCTTTTTATATTTTTGATGTCGCTATATGCTATCGTCCCCTCCAACATCTCACGAAAATTTCGTAGATCAAACAAAATTGAGTTCCAAACTTCCCACAGTATCTCGACTCTCATTTCGTCGATTTCTTCGGAGATTAACGATCCTTCGCATCGCCTGGCTGTACACCTCTGAACGGCTATCTACGCTTTCTATGACTTTCTAGATTTTTCAAGATTCAGATCGGTTTTCCACCTGTTCGTAGACTTAGATCGGCCGTTTGGAACTATTTTTCCTCCAGGTTTTCCTCTTGCATGAATTATTTCCGCTATACTTCTTGTTTTGCAGCAACTGATTTCATCAGTGTTGTCTGATTTCTAACTATGGAGCTTCTCATGTCAATTCCTGGTTTTCGCGCCAGTACGACCCCAACTTTGTTCTCTTAGTCCGAATCGGTTTTAGTGACATCGGTACTGTAGCAGTATCAAACGTGGTCATAATCTTAGTTATTGCAATGCGAATTGAAGATAAATGCAAGCTCAAGCTATTGCGATCACGTTTGATGCTTGCTGCACACGTTGTGTGGCCACAATTTTTTCCGAAACTATAGTGTAGACAAGTTGCGAACTCTTTGTTGTTTAATTTTTCGGCTTTTTGCTCAACAGTTTAATTTTCCTTTACTTTCATCTTTTCAGGTTTGGTTCTTTTAATGAGTCGACATCAGATTCATACTTGGAGTTCTGGAAACTGCAAAATTGACTACTGAATGTCTTTCCTAGTACCTACACCAAATAGGTTTCAAGACATTCTTATTTAACTTGAAACTTGAAGGTTTTGGACACTATGGCGAACCCAACACGCAGGTTAAATTATAATCGAGCTCTTATTTTCCTTTTAGGTTATGTGGAGCTTCAGCTTCCTGTAGTTATCAATGGCTTACAGAATTTTTTTTTTGCTTTCATTTAAAATATTTACTTTCAACTTGTATTGATGTGCAGTGGAAACATGAGAAAATCTAATGAGATAATGAGGATTATGGTCACAACATTTGTCGGTGGCGTTTTTGGTTTCTTTTTAGGAGTATCCTTTCCCACGCTCTCGTTATCCCAGGTAGAAAATTTCATTTTCGGCGTTTTCTATTAATTATGTATAGAACAATTTCATCCATAATGATTTGGCTCACATATTTTTTAAGGGTGAGAAAGCTTATTATTTTTATTTTTATTCTGGTAGCTAAATTTCCCATCCAGCCTGATTCCTTCTATTGATCTCACTTACATTGAGGACAAGTACTCAGGCCTTTCCACTGAAGCATTCTTGAATGCTTGGTCTTCTTTGAAGGGTAATAGAGGCAGCTCCTTACAATTTTCATTGAGCGAGGCAAAGGTGCATCTCTTACTTAAAAATTGTTTAGAATGCTTTACTTTAATTTACATCAATGAGATATTTTTTAAATGTTTCTCAGAAAGATATCATGGTCTGTATTCCGTAAATTTCTAAAACTGCTGTATGAATGAACAGGATGTTAACTATGGGGTACACGTGTATTTGAATTTTGGATTTCTCTGAAGGGTTTTGAATAATCTTCATCTTTCCCTTCAAATTTTCATAATTCAATATGATATTCTTGACTTCGAGAATGATTTGATCGCTGTGACTGAAGAACTGGTACTTTTTCCTATACGATCAAACTTTATCACCTTTAGTACTTTTATTTAGTTGCCGAAGAAAATTGATTAAACGTGAAAAATTAAAGCTGGATGAACTAATTTGGTCTGTTGCTTTGATTCTGCTTCTGTTATTATGAGGAAACCAGAGGAGTTTGGTGGTCTTGATTTTGGTAATATAAGAAAGACAATTGTGGCCTTAGTTCCCTAATGGTAATAGACACGAGGTAGCCTAATGAGAATGAGAGCTTCTGGCATAACATTATTGGGAGCAAGATTGGTCCAACGGTGATGCATTCCATTGGCTGATTAGGACGAAAAAAGCTCTCCCAGTTATTCAAGTGTTTACTCCCAATCATGCCAAGAATTCAGAGTTTGAAAGGAAACCCAGGGTCATTCTCTAGCAAGCCTGTCTTCCATCATTTGCTTGATAAGACGGATGCTATTCTCGGACACTTGGCAAAATGCATCTGGAAATGGAAGGCTGCTTAATAAGCGAGATTCTTCATATTAATAATGATGTTTCTTAAACCAAAAGAATATTATTTCTGAGCTTTTTTCCTTGAAGCACAATTCTCCATTGGCACAATAGATAAACAATCTCCTTAGTTCTTACTCACCACAAAAGTATTATATGCTGTTGTGATCAAACTTGTATGAACGTTATTTTCTTCAATGAAAAATAATTGTCGATATTGTTATTCATGCACATACTTCGGCAGGAGATGGCATTCTTGAGAACTTTGTATTTTCGGATTTTTTCTACTAGAATTGGCTATTGAAACTTCGATGATGATGCAGATATGGGTTCCTACAAATCCTCGAGGAGCTGAAAGACTACCACCTGGTATTGTTGAGTCTGAATCTGATTTTAACCTTCGGCGTCTGTGGGGTATGCCAAGCGAGGTACTCATTGCCTACAAAAGCTTTGCAACTTGTACTTGTCCTAATAAACTTGTGTGTGTGAAACTGGTGAATAGCTTTAGTGTAGTTTACTTGTATTAGCTTACATAGTTTAGGACTGAGTTGCTCATTGGTACCAAAACAGTGACCAATTTATTCTGAATTTACATACATATATATAGATAGATAGATAGATTACATAATATTTTTTGGGGGGGGCAGGGGAGTTTATGGATGTCACTTGACACCATTGACGGGTCTACCCCTTTTTATCTGCAACACTACCTGTTTAGTGTATGCCTGTTTTGGAATGGGAGAAATTATTGGAAATTTCATCAAAGAGTAAAGTTGATTCTCGATGGGGTTTTATTTATTTTTTTCCCCCTGTAAATACTAGATTTGAATTATATTTTCCTATCTGTTTCCTGTCACCGATACATTTCTTAGAATACAAAAGATCTGCATGTTCCCCTTTATGGACAGGACGTAGAATGGGTTACATAAAGTTGAAATTATCACATCTGAAACCATCATAATATAATGATTGATGGAAAAAGGGGATGTCATGTTTGACCTTATCTTAATAGAAAAATAATTCACTCATCCGTTAATCGAAATTTCTACTTTGGTTTTCAAACTGAATCCATTTTTGTTGACTTCACTTGCAGGATTTGGCTATCAAACCGAAGTATCTGGTAACATTTACAGTTGGTTTTGATCAGAAAAAGAATATTGATGCAGCAGTGAAAAAGGTAGGTTGAAAAGGTGTGCATGTTATTACAGAACTAAAGGTCGAAAAGATTGAGAAATAGAACTCTCTCCATATCTGATGTATTTTGACAGTTCTCAGAGAACTTCACGATTCTTTTGTTTCACTATGATGGACGAGCAAGTGAGTGGGAAGATCTTGAGTGGTCGAAGCGGGCTATCCACGTGAGTGTACGCAAGCAAACTAAATGGTCAGTTACAAGCTCCTTTACCAGATTAATCTTTCATAGAAGGCAGCAACGAATTTTATTTGAACTATGTATACTCCTTCCTAGGTGGTATGCTAAGCGTTTTCTGCATCCTGACATCGTGGCATCCTATGACTACATATTCGTTTGGGACGAGGATCTAGGAGTAGAGCATTTTGACGCAGAAAAGTATGTTCGAAACCTTACTCTTTAATTTGAGAGAACCCAAGCAAGTCAAAATTTCCTGTCCGTTCCAGATATATAAAACTTGTGAGAAAACATGGTTTGGAGATCTCGCAGCCTGGCTTGGAACCAAATCAAGGGTTAACGTGGCAGATGACTAAAAGAAGAGGTGACAGTGAAGTTCACAAGTAAGGGAAAAACATTTTTTTAATTAAAACAAAGTTTATTCAAAAATTTTGTTCATCTAAATATCCTTCCACTTCTAGTTTTATTGAAAGCGGCCATGAATCCTCGTTGCTTCTATTTGGTTGAATGCAGGGAGACAGAGGAGAAACCCGGTTGGTGCACTGATCCACATCTTCCACCTTGTGCAGCGTGTGTAATCGATGGTTTTATCTATTTATTCTTTTACTTGTTTTACCTTTTGTTTACTTCACACCATCTCAATATGACTTCACAGAAACACAGTTTTTTTTTTTTTCTTTTTTTTGCCCACTTGCATGTAGTTTCGTTGAAATCATGGCAACTGTATTTTCTCGGGATGCATGGCGCTGTGTTTGGCATTTGATTCAAGTATGGATTCTTCGACTTGGAACTTTGATCCATTGGCTTGACTTAATTTTTAGCCAGTTTTAAATCATTTTTCCCCTCTTGGATATTGTAGAATGACCTGGTTCATGGTTGGGGCCTTGATTTTGCACTAAGAAAATGTGTACACGTAAGTACGAAACATTCTCACTTGCCATAGTTATATTTCACATTATTTTTTTCCCATGGATTCATCACTCTTCGTGTTTTAAAGCACAGCCCGCTCATGAGAAAATAGGGGTTGTAGACGCTCAGTGGATTGTGCACCAAAGCGTTCCTTCTCTTGGGAACCAGGTAATCCGACACTTTGGATACTGCCTCTACCATTTCATAACAAAGATTTTCTTCTCACGATATATTCTTCCAACAGGGAAAAGCCGAAAATGGGAGGCCACCATGGGAAGGGGTAAGCAGCTGATGCATTCCAAACCCCACCACCTTACAGAATTTAAAACTAATGTTAATTACTTAATTTGAATATTCTCAGGTGAGAGAGAGATGTAGAAAAGAATGGACAATTTTTAAGAGCCGGTTGGCTGATGCAGAGAAGGCCTACTATCAGGGAATGGGGATTGATCCACCAAATTCAACTCATGTGTAGGAAAATGGCTGCAACTATTCTTCCCCTTTCTACTGAAGAGTCTAGGAGTATTAGTACTTGTGCCTAGTCTTTTTAAGCTCTAAAAAAACTTCCTGTGAGAGATAAGTAAGACTACGTATGGATTAGATCATGGCTGTATAATGGATAGAATCTACGACTAAATGTAGAAAATAGTCTTAAAAAGGAGCTTAGACATTTCAGATCTCTATGGAAGGCACAGATAGGCCCCTTGAACCTCCATTTTGCATACTAAAAATTGATCTTGGCTCCCCATTTAACTCAACCGAACTATTTTGCATCAAATCTGGCAAAACCTCGGTAAGGTAATGTTCTTCCAACCTTCATTAATTTACTGCTAAAGTTGCTGAAGAAGTCTTCTCGATCATCATGTAGACTCATGAAATAGTAGGCAGCTTGATGCCTTTTGATATATATTTTTGGGTCAACTAGATCAAGTAAATATTCGTTCAAGTGAGTGAGGTCCCGACTAAGTGTCTTACATATCGTTGAACTAAAAAAAACGATCTATAAGTAATTAATCATTTTTTCTAAAAAAAGAAAACAATAGATTGAAATTACCTCATTATTTTCTCCATGCACAACAACTCTTTCCCCTAAATACGACAAACCAACAGACTTATCTCCTTTCCTTTCATCTCATGGTCCGTCTTTCTTTAATCAGAAGATGGTGCAGAAACCAGATGAGTCATAGAAATGTCTGTGAAGGGGTGCTTAATATGGACCCTCATGATGAGAGATCCTTAAAGCTAAAAGTAAGCTTTGGTAATCGCATCTTCCAACTCTTTGAATTCCCAGGCATCATCTGCTAGATATTCCCCTGAAATGGGAGTGGGAGCCTCATATGTCAATATCTATCACATTGTCTTCTTGGATATTCAGCAGTTCAGCTTGCTTCTGCTGCTCGTGCTATTATAATTCAATTGAAAAAAAAAAAAAAAGTTTTGAACACTCACCTATTGAATCCCTTCGAAGAGCAGTCAGATGGGCACAACTGCAAGACACAAGAATATTACTACATGTCAACAATGTTAATAAACTAGAGAGGAACAAAACGAGTAGAAGAAGTATAGAACTGAAGGTTCCATAGCAAAGGGCAAGATGAATAATAACACCTGCCAAGAACCTTCCCAAGATCCGCACAAAGTGACCGAATGTATGTTCCTTTAGAGCATGTTACTCGAAATATCAAATTTTGCCTGTCAAATAATGCATACTAGATTTAGAAGTTGATTCATATTGGTGCAACAAACAACACTTTCTACTGAAAATTTTGCAATAACTAAAAGGTATTTGAGCTGCCCGACAAACCAGCCAAAGCTCCAAGTAAACAGCCAAGTAGAGTCGTTAAAGTTGTCAATATAATGAGTCTGCCATAAGTTTTTTTGAAAATTTGGACCTTTTTGTGATTTTCCTTCATGTTTAATCACTACAAATTTGAATCTTTTCCTGAAACTTTTTCAAGATTTCTATTTGACTTCTCTTATTACTTTCATCTCTCTACAAGAAAATTGGATCAAAACTTAAGTTTCTAAGCCCATGCCACCTCATGATCTTATTAGGTGAAATGCCACAATTTTAGGTACACAAATTACAGAAATGATGAAACAGAAGTACTTTTGGAGTGAACATACCTGTCATCTAAACTACGTTCAATATCAAATTTGTAAATTGATATCCGCCTAGGGGAAAGCTCAATACTTTCTCCTCTTCTTGCTTTCTCATACATCTTCTCACCTCCGACCTATAAACACATATCGAAATTTGTAACCAAATCTGACTCATCCAGCCAAGATCTCCTTGAACATTGATTTCATATTGACAAGTAACTCATAGTTTAAAGAATCAGATAAATGAAGTTGACACTACAAAAAAAGAAAAAAAGATGGCCATACTAGTGTTCTATCCATCGATTTAGTATACGTACGCACTATAATCTTATACCACAAAGTACATTGAAATAAAAGCTTCATCTGTTCTGTAAGTATTCCATACAGATATGTTATGAATCATGTGTTTGTACTATGAAGCATGCATTTTTAACAACATTACTTATACCTTGTGAAGTTATAATTATGGAAAGAAGAAGTGCTTACTTTAATGGCAGAAAACATGGGAGGAACTTGCCAAATTTCCCCACAAAAAGAGGCAGCAGCTTTTTTTATGTCATCATCTTTGATGTGCTCCCAAGGCTCTCGCTGAATTACCTGCATAATAATTGGGACAAGCGATTCTTATTTGGAAGATATACAAATAAATTTTCATCAGGAACGGAACCCAATTGAAATCTTTTATTGACCTGTGAGACAGCCAAGACCTCACCTTGCAATTAACCTAAGAACTCAACAACTAATAGAATGTTGAAGAACATTATGCTAATGATAGAAAAAGGATAGAATGCATATAAACTGAAGCCCCTTCATGCCCATAGTGACGGACTTGCCGAAGGCAAATGTTTGATGAGTTAATATAGAATCATAAATCTTCTTCCATAAGACTTGAACAATAAAGATTCCTCTGACAGATCCAGTACATTTCCCAAAGAACACAGCAGGTATAGAACATAGATGCATATCAATTAAAAACATGAAATCATAATTGACTAGAATGATAACATCAACACACCGCTGAATCAGCATCCCAAGTTGAAGTAGCCTCTCCCAAACGGAAAACTCCACTGTAGCTCTTGATCATACCTTGATATCTAAAACATAAACATGCCACCTTTTAGAAAAGTTGTATGCCTCAGGATTTCTCATTTCATCTGTGTTAGTAGTACACGTGATTTGGAAATCTATTTCAACTTTGGCTTGGGAAGATATCCTCCCTTACCCTTTATTTATTATTCCAATTACAAAGCTAACTTAATCAATCACTCACCTGTCTGCCAACTTAGTCGCTTTACCAACACAAACTATCAACAATCCAGTAGCCATAGGATCAAGAGTACCTGCATGACCTACCTATCAATGCACATAAGTGGAAAACAATGCAGTCAGAGGAGCTCAGATGCTCGAATAACTTAGTCTAAAACAGCTGAAATGCACCTTTTTCACTTTGACTAGGCGCCGGAGTTTTCCACACACCGTAAATGAAGTCCACCCTACGTTAAATAATCATATTGTTCTTTTTAAACGTCAAGAAAAAAGGGCTGAGGAATTTACTTCTAACTGGAACAATGCAAATTAGAGGACATGTGAATGGATTGAGAACTTTCACCAAGATATCAAATCAATGATTATAAACAGGGTATTCCCTTCTAAGGGCTGCAGAAACCAGACTGACCTTTAGGTTTGTTCACCAAAACCACTGTCCCACAAGGACTATCCCATTTGGCAGGGAGCTCTGTATGTCTCGTCAAAAGATATGGCTCCGTCTGACCAATTTCAGAATCTTTGGCTGGAACTTTCTTCAAACACTTGAAGAACTCCTCCACCTTCTTTTCTGTCACATCTTTCACCGACCCTTTATTATCCTTTTCTGGTCTCCCCCCATCAAAGAAAACTAACCCTTTTTCATCCACGCCATTTGTGACCTCCACTTTCGTCTCGGGCTTAACCCCCACTGCCTTTCTCACCCCCTTCCTTCCCTTTGTCTGTTCATTCACTTCCACATTTGACTCTCCAGGTCCCAGAAAAGCCTTGTCAAGACCTTCATCAGGAAAATACTTTTTCTCTAACTGATACACCATTTTGTAATGCTTATCTTTCTCCCACGGATACGCAAAAGTGTCATAGAAGAACAATTCCTCCTCTCTCTTATGCAATGTGTTAAACTCAACCACTTCAGGCTTTAATTCCACAAACCCTTCGTCCTGTGTCTTCTTATCTTCATCAGAATCGGACCCATACATTCTCCTCCTTCTTTTATTATAGTATTTCCTCTTAGCCTTGTCCATGACCACGCCTTCTTTACCGGACGCAGATTCACTCTCGGATATAAGCTTCTGGTCCACCCAGCTCTCGAACCCCAATTCGGAAACGGGATCCTCGGAGGACTCGAGCTCGGGAGAGTTGTCGGAGCTGATTCTGGGGGGTGTTCGTCGGTTCTGAGGGGGCATGGGAGGATAAATGGGATGGTTGATGATCATATCGTATTGGAGAGGGAATGGGGTGGAAGTGGTCGAGGATCTGCGGAGCGATAAGAGAGAAAGTGAATTGGGAAATCTGTGGAGATGGTTGAGGTTTGAAAGTGGAAAGAAGAAAGCGAGTGATTTGGAAGAAGCCATGAGTGTAGACCGAATGAAGAAATGGGAGGCATGAGATAGAGCAGGTGATGTCGCCATTGAAGTGATTGTTAGATGGCTGAGCGAGTTCGTGAGACTCTGAACCTTCTTCGTGGGGTGGGCGGGGAGGGGATGTTTGTTTTCTTTTACTACATTTTTTTTTTTTCTTTTTCAATTTTTTCCTCATATATATATATAATTTTTGGTGGGTATGGATTTTGATAATTATTATAATCATTTTACTATTTTATGTCCATATTTAACCCTTTTAAAAGTTTGGAATATTTTTTACTTCAATTATATAAAACTTAGAACTAATCCTTCTTTTATTCTAATATATGTGTTTTAAAATTTTTGAGAGTCCTTTTGAAAGGAAAATCCAAAAATAACAATATCTCCGAAAAGGAATATCTAAAGATACAAAAAATTCTAAACCCTAAACTATCGAAAGTAAAACCCCAAGATAACAATATCTGCTACCACGAAAGAAAAGCACAAAAATAACAATATAACAATATCTATTAATAATGGGCTAGGAGGGTTACAACACTAAGTATTTTAAACCAAACCTACAATCCAAAAAAAATATATCTATGTAAATACTGCATTTCCATTATTTTCTGAACTCCGTATAGCAAATTTAAATATTAATGAATATAAATGAAAGTGAGCACAGTTATTAATTGATCAAATGAATGTAGAATGTTCAAAACGCCCAATACCAATTTACCAAGTTTTCTGTCTAAAACAACAAGAAAACAAGAAAAAAAAAATGTTGTATTAACTTTGCAAACTACTGAATGGCAATATATATATATATTCAAGATGCATATTTCCTCAGCAAACCTAAACTACCAAACTCATAGTCTAACTGGAAAGTGTTTTAAGATCAACCTCATTTAGGCATGAAGGAACCGCCTGGATTGGTTGAAAAACAAAACCAGCTTTCTGGCAATTTTCCTCCAGAAGCTTCACTTGTGAAGGCCCATCAGGGCAGAATACCACAACAGCTCCTCCACTGCCTGTGAACTTTGAAGCAGCGCCTACTCTTCGGGCTAATTCCACCATTTCTATGTTTAAAGCACCCAGAACATCATCTCCAAACATTCTCCTGTGAGGAGTTCGGAATTTAGGAGGGGAAAACAGCAGTAAATGGTGAGTTAGCATAGCTTTTGGTTTGAGTGGAAGGTGGTGTCTTGACATACTTGGTTAAATTGTTCCAAGTGTTCATAAAAAAAAAAGTACTTGAAAGAATACAAAAGGCGCTCAATTAGTTGATTCTTCCAAAAGAAGTGTTTCAGAAGACACTACTCTCCTGAGGAATCATAATAACCACAACTAGGCTAAAAATAATGCATACAACAAACTTTTCCAAGGGATTGAGAATACAATGAACTTCGAATAGTTTGGAGTTGAAAATTTACTTGAGGGCTGTATGTATATTTTTTTAATGTCTGGACAAAATTTGTTTGTACAGAAACACTAACCTGCGAAGATCAAAATTGCGGTTCATAAGCACTGCAAGTTTTGAATAGTCCTTCTCAAGTAAAACTGTCCTTCCTTCTTCTGCAACCATAGCAACTTCTTGCATTGATGATATAATCAATTTGTCACCATCGAGCCACCTCTGCCGTACTGTACTGTGGACCTGCATTTGCATTGGTCATGGATGACAGTGGTTAGTGTTCAAGATCACATTTCCAGCAGTGCTAAGGTTTAATCCATCTACAGAGGAACTATAAGAGTTGAAGAATGTGAAAATTTCCCAAGCTTTGGCCAAAAGCAGTGTAATACAGTTTGTTTGGCACAAACAAAATTTGATTGGTTATGATTCGTTTTGGCATTGAATGCTTTGTAGTTTCGTGACAATATATCTTGTAGAGGGGGAAAAACAGAAGAATATAGCTGCACTTATCCAGTATTCTTACTGACGTAATATGCATTTGTTTTATGCTTCTGTCAAAAACAGTTCGCAAGTGCAAACAAGCTGCTAGACCACGACTAAAAATAGTAGATATCAAAAATTGTAAAAATGAAATGTACTATGGGGTCCATTAAGATATCGACCTTTCCAGAATCACTTGGATTATCAGCATAAATTAGATAGAGTGGAGGGAGAAGATTAATATCCATGGGTATGTATATGCCATGCCCAAGCTTCTCCATGTGCTCCTGGCTAAAATCCTACAGAAACAGAAGTAAACATCATTAAAAACTTACCAGATTTCCATATTCATAAATATTCAACATTTTTGGAAGCTATACCATGTAAACAAGGCCACCATAGACCTGCGCAACACGATCTTGAAGGCCAGCAACAATGCCAAGTTCTTTCTCTGCAGCAAGAACAAGATTAGGTCTGACCTCCACCTTAATCAGATGCCTGACATCAAAAAAGTCTAGCAAGCAACTCAAGGCAGCACATACGATTGCACTGGAACCTGAAAGCCCTGTCTGGAATGTCAAAATTATTACTTAAGCCATTTGATATCATGTCGACAAGTCAATGTGCAGAATAAGGGAATATGAGGTTTAGCATTGGTATGAACACAAGTAGGCTAAAAATAATGCATTCTGAAATATTTTAAGTCTTCAACTTGACGACCATTCAAGATGCACTAGCCAAGCGAAGCACGACTACATTGGTGTGCAAATTACAGATGAATGTGAACTATGCATATCTAAGCTTTCATTTCTAGAAAATACAGGCGGATGTGTTGACTGTCATAAATTGAGTAAAAAGGAAGGAACCCTTTTCAATCCCATTAAAAGAACACAAATCCATATTAGCTACACAGTCAAAGGCTTCGTAAGCTTAATGCATTACTATCTAACCAACTAACCATGAAAAGAAGTAAGAGCATCTGCTTCATTGACCAATGAATCTACAAGTATTGCAATCATAACGCATAGATAAATTAATTCTAAAACAAAAGTAATATGGCATAGAGCAAGACACTATACCTGTCGAGGAATATTAGTTTCGTAAGACAAAGTGAAGTTCCTTGTATGAAGATTAATCTCGTTTTCTCTGCAATAACTATAAAAAACTTTGCAAATTGCCATAAGCAATCGCACTCCTCCATAGTAGCCTTCATTGGACAATCGATTAACCTGTAAAACAGAACAAACAAACTTTAATCCGCAAAATTCTTGAACATATTGGCAAACTTAAAATAGTCATTACATTTCGTTCCATGAAATTTCAATAATTCAAACGCATCAACAAAATACAGTGATATATAATCAAATAGCGATGTCCTCTTTACATCTCTAAAAATGAAATTGAAACAACTACAAGAAAATGCAACAATACTGTGTTACCGAAAAACGAAACCACGAATTTGTAGACATTCTAAAATTTCAATCGCTCATAGATCTCTCCATCATGCAATGTGTTATTTGTAAATCCTTCCACCAGATCTATCCAAATCAGCGAACCAGTTCCATATAATGTGAGAAAAAACGTACCAGATGATCGAGGGATCTGAAATGGACGAAATCGTGGGTGGGATGGGGAGTGATGACAAGCTCTTCGGAAGGCCGGAGTTGCACGGCGGCCCAGAAATTCGAGAAAGCAAAAGAGATGGTGCGGCCATAGTAAACATCGCTCGGATTTCCCAGTAGTCCCACTCTGGCATAAGCCTTGTGCTCAATCACAGAGGAGGAGGAGGAGGAGGAGGAAGATGATGATATTTTGGAATCCATTGTACTCTCTCTCTCTAAAAAAAAATTTCTCACTCTTCTTCTCTGAGAATTACAGTTTTCGCCTCCGTCGTCTTCTTCACCCGACGAAAGTCGTCGGAAGAAGCTCTGTTCTTAGCTTATAATAAGGAAAACGTAATCAAGAAATTTAACGAAATTATATATATATGTGTTTGTGTGTATGTGTCGTGGGACCCACTTAGGTACGACCTGGCACATATCTTCTCTTCAGGTTAAAAGTCAATTTGTCCTTATCTGTTTCGTGTTGGCACTTGCTTTTTTTTTTTTTTTTTTTTTTTTTTTTTTTTTTTTTTTTTTTTTTTTTTTTT